CTTTGCCACCTGCAAGTGCGCTTGGCCACGCCCACTTCTCCACTCTGCACGGTGAACAGCTGATCAGCTGCAGGAGGAAGCTTATCTTGTAGTATAGGCTGCACAAAGATGCAGCAGGTGCTAAATAATTTTAAATAATTTATTTAAAGTAAAAATTCCATGCTAATCGTGCAGCTCATCCATCATTCAGCCAATTGGGTGTCATGTCCAGTGTACAGCATCAGATACTAATGGGCCACCACAGTCAGTCAGTAAGGATACATTATGTACAATGTAGAAGCAGAACATGGACTCAGTGATAGTAGAACAACATTAATACATGTACATGTCAAAGTGTCAGAAAAATCACATTTTAATCAGCAAACCAGTGTTCAAATTTCCTGATTTCCAGAGTTGCTGGGAACCCTGTTCAATAAGTCACAAAGTAGTTTCAAAAGTAGCATTGTCTTAATTTGAGTTATTTAATGTTTTATACTCAGTTCAACACATACGGTTTGTTTTGCATGAGTGTCCAAGTAAGAAAAAACAGATTCCTTCACCTAAAGCATCAGAAGAGCCAGATCGGAACTGCTCAGGTGTCTCTGTTTCTGTGTTGATTCGTCAGATTGCTCGCTGACCAGAGCTGCACCCGTGTCTCATTGAGGTTTGTACTTTCGGCGGCCAGAGCCTCGTGCCGACCTGTGTTTGACAATGCAGCTTAAAACAGCCAGCAAAGTGGAGGGGGATTTCCAGAGTGTAATTTTATAAACTAAACCACACCTAGGACGGATTACTTTTGGAAAGCACCGTTTTTTAAAACTGAATTTCACCCAGGATCAACCTGCGCTTGATCTGAAACTCTTATACACAGCTGTTTTCCTATAATAATAATAATAATAATAGCATGCATAGAGTAAGAAACAACACTGCAACATTAAACGTAGTATGAAGTAAGCTTGTGTATATTGTCACAATAAACCAGACATAACGTCATGAATAAAAAATCATGAGTTCATATTATTCAAATGATCTGATCTACAATCTGAATCATGTACCCAGATCTGAACACAAGTGCGATGTAAATTTTCACAGTAATTTAACTTGCAGACAGACTCCTAACATTTATCTCTGCATCAATACTTCAGTTGTGACTGAATTATGCAATTAAAAATGTATTTACACGCGCAAAGACGAGGAGATGTGAGGAGAAACGAGAGTGTTGGCCAACAAAGAAAGAGGAAAGCCTCCATTAGCTGATGGCTAATTTATTACTCCTCCCGCTGCTGAATGTGATGTCATTACAGCTTCCACATAAATCAAGAAAAGAAGCTGCAAATGTCACTTTTATCCATAACCCCCCACCCCACATCGCAGTAAAACCACTTCCTGGTCACCTTGGGAGGACATCATCTGACTAAAGAAATGAGCTCCGCAGCGACACTGTCAGACAATAATTACACAAAAATGTGTCCGTCTTGAAATACCAAAAAGTTAATCTTATGAAAATACATTAAGACGACAAATAATTAAGATGTAATGTACGACATGGAGGGATCGAGAGAGCGGGAGAAGAATTTCCCCAAATCACTTTTGTCATTAGTGGTCTTATCAAAGTAAAATTATGTCCGAGCGGTTATCACGGCTTTAATTAACACACACTGAGAGTGCGTTTGTGTGTTGGAGGAACATGTTAGGACACATGATACATGTGACACAGGAGACAGGGCAGCAAGGGTAATGGATTGCTAAGTGGATTCTCAGAAATGAGTTTTGTATGTTGAAATGTTTGTGCGCGTTTAATATTTTCGCTTTAATCATTAGCAATAAAACATCTCGTAGCCAGGCCTCGGGGCGCTCTGAAAGAGGGCATTATCCTGGACGTATTGCATCATCAGCAGAAAACTGTGGAGAAACTTAAAGAGCTTGTTTACTAAAGTGGATCACACAAAACAGATCCGTGTAATGTCACCTCGCTGCCGGCGACTCATGATCGGAAAGTTAAATTTCACTGGAGATGCTGTTAAAAGACCGCCACTGCTTTTTAAAATAAAACCAACACTTTAATTTTTGAAGTATTCTCTAAACGTACGGACAACGTCCAGAATGAAACATCTGTATTGGATTTACAGTCGTCCTTAAATGTTTCTATGCAAACTTACATTCCTGTCCTCTCTTTAAGAGACTTTTTTTACATGTACATAAATAATGCACTTACAGGTGCAGCTCAGAAATATAGAATATTATGAAAAGGTTCAAGTTTTTTGTCAATCATTCAGAAAGTCACTCATATATTACATAATCCATTACGTAAAGAGTGAAACGTGCCAGGCATTTATTTATTGTAGTTTTGATGATTATGGCTTACAAATAATGAACAAAACAATCTGTGAATCGTAGTTTTTCATTATTCGTAAGCCATAATCATCAAAATTACAAGAAATAAAGGTTTGAAACATTTCACTCTTTGTTTAATGAAATGAGTGACAAACTGAACTTTTTCCACAATATTCTTTTTTTGTTGTTTTTATGCTCCTGTATATTAACGGGATCAAAACGGGCCTTGTTCATGTTGTTTTCTTTCTCCCTGCTCTCAGGGTAATTTTCAAACATTCCCATCAGCTTTAATAAAACTGTTTTATCGAGTTGTAACTCTATATGAAAATAAATTAAATGTTCGATTGGTGCCAATAATGAAAACCTCAGAGATAATTTAAACAAAATACAAACAAAAGCAGCACGTGGTTAAATGTGAGAATGTTAAAATGGTGATTATTTCACTTTTCCAGCTCTACAAAATGAAACAGTTTATTTGATAATCAGCTTTTTTCTACAGATCAATAATAATAATCAATAAATCAACTGACCGTTTCAGCTCCAAAAATAACCCTTTCAAGCAGCGGGAACAAAACATTTGAAAACGAGTACGATCACAAAATTTCATGGACCATTGAAGTCGTTACTGATAAAAAAATAAAAACTAGTAGGAGGGTCAGAGAGATGTTGATCAGCTGAAACTCCCACAGTCCTTAGGCGAGGTCTTATCAAGATAAAATAAATGAGAGCATGTGCATGAGCAGACACAAGTTGTGTTGAGCTTTCACAATAATATTAGGGAGTTGTGGAGAGGTTTTTATTTTTGTGCTTTCTTAGCACACAGTATGATGAATAAATGAAAGTATGAACAAATACATTGATGAATGAACAAATGAGTGAAAAAATAAAAAAAATGCTAATATTTTCTAATTTTATATTTATGAATGGATGGATGGATGGATGAAAGGCTGATTGGATGGCTGGATGGATGGATAGATGAATGGATAGATGAATGGATGGAAGGCTGGATGGATGGCTGGATGGATGGATAGATGGATGGATAGATGAATGGATGGATGGAAGGCTGGATGGATGGAAGGCTGGACGGATGGATGGATGGATGGCTGGATGGATAGATGAATGGACAGATGAATGGATGGATGGATGAAAGGCTGGATGGCTGGATGGATAGATGAATGGATGGATGGATGGATGGATGGATGGATGGATGGATGGATGGATGGATGGAAGGCTGGATGGATGTTCAAATGGTATACCTTCATTTGTCATGGCTGAAATGTGCCCTCTGTGTGAAATGCTGGTGAAGATTCTCAGTCATCCAGGACATGATGAATTCAAAAAATGTTCAATACAAAAACAACTGGACTTTATTTGTAAAAATAAAAATTCCTCTGTGTGAAAAAAACAAACAAACATTCTCCTTGAAAGCCAGTGCTTGGAGCTAGGCCTGTCGCGATAAACAATAAATCAATTAATCGCATGATAAATGAAAACGATCAACCTCATTTTCATTTATCAGTTTTATCGTTTCTTCGTGTCTCTCTCTACTGAAGACACTGGATGACAAAAGCTCAACTCCGGTGCTCTTCACTGACCCCTCACTTTCTCTTTAATATCCATTTTAACGATCCAAAATCACGTTTTTGGGTCGTTAAAAGCAGCTAAGCTACGAGCTAAGCTAACAGGCTGACCTTGGGAAAAAACCTCCGTCTTGTCGAAACGCTAAAATTGAAACTCGTGCCTTCGTGTACAAAGTTGTTTTTCTCTGCAGAAAGAAGCTGAAAACTTGTTTACTGATTTTATTTATTTATTATTATTAAAAGCTGTGTGAAAATGCTATGCTAAAGAGCTCAAAGCACACCAAGCATCTGCCATTTTGAGAACTGAAGTGAGACAGCCCATGTCACATCAAGGGCCTCCCTCCCATTTTTCTTAAAGAGACACGCTGCTCGCTCCCTCACTATCCATCCTTCAGTGCAAACAGTCTTATACTGCCATCAAGTGGTCAAAAAAGATACTAAACGCAAAACAAATAAACATTTCTTCTTAAATTTGACAATAATATAATTATTGTCAAATTTCAAACAATATTATCGTTTATCGCAATTATTTCTGAGACAATCGCCCAGCAAAATTTGTTATCATGACAGGCCTACTTGGAGTACTTGGAGTACTACAACTAAACAGTTAAACCGTAGAACATGGCCGCCTTGTGTTGAAGACAGGAACACAGAAATTCACGCTCTGCATCAGGACCAAAAACAAAATGGTGGAAACACTGAAGAAAGCAGGTAAGACAGAAATTCTCTGGATCTCGACTTCTTTTGTTTATTTAATTCGTATAATGTCGTTTGAATAAAAACTGTTTGTTTTGCAGCGTGGAGCTAAATATTTTGTTTCCTTGAGGTCAGAGAGATTCTCTGCTCAGGATTTGGTTTGAAGTGTGACAGCAGAGAAATGGATAATTGTTTCATAATCGCACCGCAGGTCTCTGAATCAAATGCCTACATTTTCCCACCCCTAATAAATAAATATAAATTAAGCTTAATTAAAAAAATCTTTGCATTTGTCAAAATTTTATGGTATTTTTTTCTATCACGCATTCACGAAACAAAGATGAATCTTTCCCGTGAATGTCTGTTTGACACCAACCAGAAAGATTCAAAGAGAACTAAAAATACACAAAGATCCAAGAAAATACATTTTAAAAAGCAGAAAACACAAACTAAAACAACAGAAAGGAGATTTAGACCATTTGTTACTGGGAATTTAGGAGCTACTGGATGGATCTCAAGATAAAAAGGCAGCAAAATGGCAGTGGGTGCAGAGAAAATCAACAACACATGCTGAAGACGACTGACGTGAACAACTAAAAGTTCATGTGAAATAAATGTGAAGTGGGGGGTGGGGGGTGGTGGTGGGGGGTAACAGAGACACAAGTGAACCAACAGCTCCCTCTTCAGGGCTTGTGATGAGTTTGGTCAGAGATCTGGATTTTTCCCACCTGTCAGTTGAATTTGTGTGTGTGTGTGTGTGTGTGTGTGTGTGTGTGTGTGTGTGTGTGTTGGGGGGTCACAGATGCTTTCATTTGTTGTACTTCCCCGGCCAGATGTGTGTATTCTTTTTAGGGACCGCAAGTGATTTCAACACAACAAAGATCCTGTTTGAGAACAAGTGAGACAGAAGGCAGGGCTGTGTGTGTGTGTGTGTGTGTGTGTGTTACCATTGCGGGGGGTCACAGAGAGTCCAGTTTCAAGCAAAACACGGCGCAGGGAGAGAAAATAACAGGAGTTCATGTTACTGTGACCATCTTGATTTGACACTTAAACGGGGAGCCAGTAAAATGTGGGCCAGGTTTTTGTTTTTCATCGCCTTTTTTTAAAGTGAAGTTACAGCAGATGATAAAAACAGAGTGCTGATATTTATTATGGAAGGCGCATGTGGATCTGTCACCCACTTAGTTCAAATATTGTTGTTTGGTCTGAGTTTATGTGGTGAAACTGGCATGTAAATCTGAAGATATGTTACCTCATCCTGGAGGTTTTAAGCTTTAAACTCCACGAGAAGCTCCGTTTATGCAGCTAAAGTCGTGTGCAGATTAATTTCCCTCCCTCCCTCCAGAGAGTCATCAGGGTCTTTGTTCCAAGCTCTAAACCTGCAGGGTAAACCTGCTCTCTCCAATTTTTGAAAAGAAAAGGCTCTCCGGACAGGAAACCAAATGTCTTCTGCTACAGAAAAGAGATTGATTTGTTTTTTAACTTTCAAGGTTTGTTGTGTCCTGGATGACTGGATGAATCTACATCAGCTTTGTTTAGCTGTATTTCATTAAATGGCTTGTTTTTGGAATGTTAAATGAAAAATTGTTCAGTGTCTCTGAGATGCGCAATAAGAAAGCTTTTCAACAAACAGTGACGCTTTTATTATTCAACACTGCCGAGCACAAAACAAAAGACAAAAACGGCAACGCAAACGCTACCCATAAAAAATACAATAAAAACAGAACGTCTCATGGCATTTTTTAAAATGTTTATTTTCCTGGTTTACAAAATGTTCGTTTTTTTGTTTACCATTTTGTAAATGTTTATCTTTTATAAAATGTACAATTTAATTTTTGTTGTTTGTTTTTATTACTGTATTTTTAATGCTTGCATAGGCCTGTCACAATAACAAATGTTGCTGGGCGATTAATTGTTTCAGAAATTATTGCGATAAATTATAATATTCTTTGAAATTGAGTAATTATTGTCAAATTTAAGAAGAAATGTTGGTTAATTTTGTGTTTGTAGTACCTTTTTGGACCACTGGATGACAGTATAGACTGTGTGAACCAAAGGATGGATAGTGAGGCAGCGAGCAGCGTGCTTCTTAAAAAAAAATGGGAGGGAGGCCCCTTGACGTGACATGGGCTGTCTCTCCTTCCTTTCTTTGATTCTCAAAATGGTGGACGCTCTGTGTAGTTTGAGCTCTTTAGCATAGTACTTTTCACACATAGATTTTAATTTAAAAAAATCACTAAACAAGTTCTCAGCTTCTTTTTGCAGCAACAAAATTTTTTACACGAAGGCACGGGATTCAACCGCGAATTTTGGAGCGTCGACAAGACGGAGGTTTGTTCACGAGGTCGGCCTGTTAGCTTAGCTCGTAGCTTAGCTTC